ACACAGCTTTATATATTTTTTCTACATACCTCAAGGTACCATGTGTGGGTTGTGAATGCTGAGATGGTGGGGTGGATGGAGAGTCCCATGGGAGCATGGGAGGGGGGCCGCATGCTCATGCTCTATGGCCAAATTGTCGAATCTCTCCAAATCGAATCGAATTGGAAGCCTTCATTTTGGAGAGATTAATGGGTCTCTGATTCAAATCAAATCAGCGACTGAAGCCTCCCAAAACCCTATTTATAGAGGGTTATTTTGTATTTGCCTGCTGTTCTTAGGAAAGTGAAGTGGCTTTGAAACATTGTAATGAAAAATGTTTCTAGACCAGGTAATATTACTAAATACCAAACCTTAAACTGTATAATTCATATTTTCTTTACTTCTCTTCAATTTCACCCTGATTTTAATAGATCATTTGTTGTGATTTATTAATTGTTATTGCAAACAGGGATATGTGTACCACAGTCTGAGACCCCCTGCTCTAACTACACAGCTAAACAAAATAAAGAAAAAAAATGAACAAACAAAAACAGGGGTAGTATACTACCTGCAGATATTTTAGATAAGGTAATCCAGGAGGAACTTTCTTCAGCTTATTTCTTTCAAGATGTATTTCTCGCAAACTTGGAATATTAGCAAGACTTCCATTTTCCACATCTTTGATTTTATTGTTGCCCAGACCCAATCTAGAAAGAACACAAGAAAGATTACCTCCTCATGCATGGATATTTATATTAGCACTAGCCAAATGCCCATCATGACAAATTAATTTCAAATAACAAAAACAAACAGGCAGATTTTACTTTTTATATGCATTATAAATAAAGTAAATATGTGTAAAACTTAAATAAAATAGGCTGAGCACTTAAAGATATGAATTGCTTCCTTGTTCTGTGACTCAATATGCCACTGGGGTTGGTTACCCGATCTTCCTTTGGGTTGTTTACAGTTTGGTTAACCATTCAGATGGTTTGGCAGGAATCAATTATCATCAAGTATCTCCTTAAAGACTATGTTTTTGGTGAATATTTTCTCATCACTGTTTAGATGTCCTTGTTTGTTTGCCACCGGTGAAATGTATATTCTTAGTTGTTTCCATTCCTGGATCTCATTAGGGCCACATACAAATGTCCATGGGAAAACACTGGTTTGGGTAAGTAGAGTCCAACAGAGTCCAAACTTTGTCCTTGTGATTTATTAATTGTTATTGCAAACACTGTTATTATGGGAAATTGTTTCCTTTTCAGAATGAAAGGTAGTTGTGTGTTTGATGGAGGCAAATCAATTTGAGGAATGATAACACGTTCTCCTATATTAGTACCTGTAATTATTTCAGCATCTAGGAAATTTTGGTGCAATTCTCTTATTACCAGTTGAGTTCCATTGCACAGTCCCATTTTTTGGATTCATATTTCTGATTAACATAACAGTAGCACCAATTTTCAGTTGCACTTTGTGTGTTGGCAGTCCTGATGGTGTATGTGCATTTAAACATTCAGTGGGATAAGTAGTTTGATTTTTGGAATCATCCATGATCATAGAATCTGCACTGTAGTATTTTTTCATTTCATCAGGCAGCAAAGTTATAATTTCAGTATTCAGTTCCATGGGGTGTTTATTTTTAGGAGTTACGATATTTTTCTTTGCATCTGATAAACTGCTATATCAATGGGTCCATTTCAATAAAGGTTAATGGTATTTCAATTAGAGTTGGTGGCAACCTATAATCATTCGATATAGTTCGTTCACCAATTTTCAGAGTCCATTCATTGATTCGATGTTGTCTTTCAGTTCACAGGTTTTGTGAAAATTTGATTTTGGTGAAATGTGACCACACATGATTATTTTTTATGCATGCCTCAGTCATCTCCATTCTTGTAGATCTTACTACAACTGGTAATGTTTGTCTGAAGTCTCTGCCTAACAAAAGCATTTTTCCTCCAAAGGGCGTATCATTTTGCATAATCTATCTCAACAACAAAAATCAATGCATCTAAGTGCATGAGTGTGCATCATAGTGGCTTTATCAATTCTAATGAGTGTGGCCTTTTTCAGTCTGGGAGCTTCAGGTGAACATA